GAGAGAGAGAGAGAGAGAGAGAGAGAGAAAGAGAGGACAAGTGCACAGTGTGAGGGAGAGGAGTACCCGAAGGTTCAGTATTGCAGTCTCTGACCTTCATTATGTGTGGCTCTCCTCCTGTCATCCCTGGTGGACCGGCCTCCTTCAATCTTTGGGGAGAACGAGGTTCGAGGGGCGATCTGTCGCTGGCCTTGGAGCACGTCTTGTGGTGACATCATCACATAGAACTGACCTGTTCAAAAATACACACAACACACTAACAGTTTTAGTTTTAGCGAGTTTTACCACACTTGCAACACAATAAGGTCATACAAGTGTAGCAGATTAGAGGTGTTACAAGAGAGTAACAAATATTTTTTTAAAAGGAGGGGAGATAAGGATGACATGTTATTTGTATAGGAAAGAAGGAGCTAACCACACAAGAACACCCACCAACCACCCACAAGTGCCGAAGATTAGAGGTCTTACAAGAGAGTAACAAACACAAAAAAGAAGGAGGGGAGGTAAGGACGACAGATGTTTGACGATAAAGAAAGAGAAAACCACAAAAGAGCACCCGCCAACCACCCAGTAAGACGCAGTTAGCATGCAATGCAAAGACTACACGGTCAAATATATCACACACAGAAGTCAACATACAGGTGAGGCTTGCTAACAAAATGAGTTACTTCCTCCAATCCACGAATGGAAATGTTGAACACAGAGCGACAAATCAAATTTGTACATTTTCAATTGATGACGTTTTCTTCAATTTTGATGTCTTCTATTATTTAGTACAAAAACTGAATGAATGCAACCTAGAAATCTCACACATCTATCCATGTACATGGAGCTAACTCATAGGGCATAAGTCCGAGAAGTAACTCATAATGCTAAAATCCAAAAAGTAACTCATTGGGCTAAAATCCAAAAAGTAACATATTGGGCTAAAATCCAAAAGATAACTCGTTGGGCTAAAATCCAAGAAAACTCTCAGAGGGCGCAAGTCCGAAAAGTAATTCACATAGCTGCCCACCCCTCTCTGTGGTTATCAGGGACAGCCTTGCTCAAAATCAGGGACATTTACTAATTATCAGGGACACCTTGTATTTGTCAAGAAAAACTTGCTGCCTTTTCGGTTTCTCTGCTTTACTTGGTCCGGAGTCTGACTTAAAACTCATCGCCGAACGTTTTGACGCATCTTTTCAAACGAATGAAGAAGCCGAGCGCCGCGCATGCGTATCAGTTGACTTTGTCGAAACTGCACACATGCCAACTCTCCCGAATTTTCGCTATTTTCCCAAGCAACAGAAGGCTAATTTTTCTGCTTAAGAAGTATGCTTGCCAAGTTGTTATTTTCCGGGACTACCGGTCAAAATCTGTATTTCCGGGACAGTGGGCAGCTATGAATGCATAAGGCAAAAATCCAGAAAATAAACTCATAGAGCTAAAATACGGAAAGTAATTCATTTTGATAACTCATAGGGCTAAAATCTGAGAAGTCAGCAACGCTATCAGCATGCCTGACATATGGTGAGCAAGAAAGAAGCTTTCGTTTACCTCCGGTGGCCACCGGACCTAGAGCCGCCCCTGCAGTGACCGGGTCCCCAGCCTGAGTGACCACCGTGCCGTCCCCTGCTGCCACGGACGTGGGGAAGTATGCGAACCGGCCGTCAGCCGTCTCCCCTGTGGGGCTCCCACCATTGCTGAACGGGCTCTGGATGACAGCCTGAGACAGACGGCAAAATACATGAATGTTTAGTTTGCATTATATCAACAAAATAATAATGGTCAGTTTAGTTTTTAGTTTTAGTAGAGGTTTTGTTTTACAGCGCTCGCAACTGCATACGGTCATATGAGCGCCAGAAGACTAGGTGTTACAAGAGAGTAGCAAACATAAAAAGAAGGAAAGATAAGGACGATAAATGTTTGATAGGAAAGAAGAAGCAAATAATGGTCATTTAGAGCTTGG